TTTTTTTTAAGTTAGACTAAAGCATTATCTTCTTATAATTACTCTTCATTAAATTTTATTTATTATTTATTCTCATCTAATTAATGACTTTTCAAACTTTATGAACAACAATTGAAAATTTTCTTTTTGTTTTCCTCATATATTTAATATCAAGTAGTTTCATTTAATTAAAAAAAGTTTCAAATATACAATCATGTAACTATTTGAATTCACTAAGTCAAAAGCTACATTAGTTTTTTTTTTTTTTTTTGACAGTTTGTGCCCCCATTTATGCAAACGCACAACATTGATAATAATTTTTCCTTAGATCATGTAGTGCATTCCTACATCAATTTTAGTATATTTAAAGAAATTAAATTTTTGTACTATCCCAAGACTTAAACTAAACCTACATTCTCATTAAACTCGGATGTATATCATGTGTAAATTCTCGTCCCAACATAAATGACTATTGTCAGACAGAACCTTTCAGATGTGATATGCCGCCCAGAAGCTGGACAGCAAAAGTTGGACTCCATCAAAGGATTGCAATGCATCCTCAGTGCGCTGTGAAAGCTTATCCGTCCTAGCCTTACTAACGACAGTCTCATGTTTTAAACTTTAACGTCCATGGAGCTTGAGAGCTTCTATACTCTCTGTCTCCATGAGTTCTTGAGGTGTCCTTAATTAAGCAACCTCATGATAAAGCAAACACTTTCCAAAATTCAATCTAAACAAATGGGAAGTATTTGTATTTGGGATGATAATAGCAAAGTAAATATTAGAAAAATGAAAAGGACAACGTAGGAAGAAATGAAGGCTAGCAGTTTGGACCACATATATTTTATTATTTTCATCTCTTTCAATTATATGAACGAATTGATTAAGACAACGAAGAAAAGAGCAAGTTTTTTTTTAGCACTAACGGTTGGGAGCAAAAGCTCATGAGGATTAGCACATAAGTTGGACCCCATAGGCCATCCAAAACTTGTGGAGCAGATGCATCCTGATCTCGTAGCCTCCCATATGGTGGGTTTTTTTATCGGTTCCATGAATTTCCTCTCACTTGTCAGAGTCAGCTTCTCCTTATCCAATGGAGGACTAAACTTAGGTGGACGTCAACACAGCCCTGACAGGAAGGAAGATAATGAAGTAATGCTAATCGGAAGACAAGACAGAACCCAACAATGTTGTCCAGTGGATGGGGGCTTTCAGGCTGCTGTCCAAACCTTCAGTGAAAAACAGAATGGATTAACATGCAATTTCCCTTGCATCTGAGAATGATAAATTGTTCTACATCTTTTTAAAGGCTATAGATCATGTTCAAATTCATTAATCATATGATTTATGTCTATTTGAGTAGACCTATTCAGGTTAAGGTTAAATTATGAAACATGATAAAAACTCTTGTATAGAAAAATCATACTGTTGGACTTTGTAGACTAATACTCACATCTCTTTTATTTCAAACTGCAGTTTATCCGGAATAACCCAATACTACTAATCCCACTTGAAGCTTTTTCCATCACATAAATTATCTCAACTGGAACCATAAGAGAATCAATTAAATCATTGTATATGCCACCAGTCAAAGTCCAAACCTGATTTCTTGGCTTGGCAATTAAAGTGATATAGAGGAGGTTCCTTTTTCACCGCCTTCTTTCTTCCTTTCTCAGGCTTCATCTGAAGGCATGTGAACGAAGTTAGTTAATACAGGTAAAGGATAGCTACCCTTATTTATGATCATCAAACTAAAGTTGTTTATCTAGGTACTAATAGGTGTCATTCCAAAATTAGTTTTCTTTTGCAATATTCAATAATGAGCGTCCCTCATTAATGGAGTTTGCTGGAAACACTTTGTATATCATGACTCAGTAATTTAGAAATTTTCTTTTTCTTCTTTCTCTGTCACGTATTTAATATCTCGAAAAGGACTAAAAAGCAACAAATTTATAACACACTATCAAAATAAAAAATGGATTAAGGTTTCCTGAGCAGAAAATAATTATCCATTGAAATAGACAAGAAGAACAAGATCAAGCAGCTGAATGCCACTTCTGTTAAATTTGTGAAAGTAGTGTCTCATCGAACACAAAGAAACCCCACAACAGCAGGTTTGGTCACATGTTGGATCAAACGCTTGCACATGAAGAACCTTAACCAATTTACGCCAGACTCCATAAGCCATGTTCAGCTACCAAGTGTCATGGTCCACAAGGGTGAATAACGTCCTCTCCAATATACTTGGGACGGTGGGCTCACAACTTCATTGACTGTAGCCTATTCCAAAGGCCAAAGCAGTACCTGTGGGGTTCTGGCCCGGTCCGAAACCATAGCCAACCACAAGATAATGTAACAACTTTTTGCTGCCACTAACTTCTTGCCATGTGTCCTGTCCTGGATTCTCTCCTCCCCACTAAGGTTTCCTACACCCTTGCCTTTTCCTATCTTTTCTCTTCATTCTGCTCTGCTCCAGCTCAAAGCTAACTGAGACTGAATTTTGAGTGAGAGATGTTGAAAGGGGAGACTGATGATGCTGGCGGTGGTGGTGGTGGTGGTAACAACTGGGCACGTGTGTGTGATACGTGCAGTTCTGCTGCTTGCACTGTGTACTGCCGAGCAGACTCGGCTTACCTTTGTGCGGACTGTGATGCACGAGTCCATGCTGCTAACAGGGTAGCATCACGCCATGAGCGCGTGTGGGTGTGTGAGGCATGTGAGCGTGCTCCGGCTGCTTTCTTGTGCAAGGCAGATGCTGCCTCACTCTGTGCTTCATGTGATGCAGATATTCACTCTGCAAATCCACTAGCACGCCGCCACCAAAGGGTCCCAATTCTTCCTATTTCAGGAAGCCTCTATGGGCCCCCCGCCAGTGACCAAGGTGGGAGAGTAGTAGCATCAGCAGCAGAGACTGAGGATGGACCTCTAGCTCTGGATGATGAGGAGACATTTGGTGATGAGGATGAGAGTGAAGCAGCTTCTTGGTTACTGCTAAATCCAGGTAAGAATAGCACCAACCAGAACACTGGATTCTTGTTTGGTAGGGAGGCCGACGAGTATCTGGACCTTGTCGAGTACAATTCAAGTGCCGAGAATCAATACAACAATCACTACCAGCAGCAACAAAATCATAGTTTTCCACAAAAGAATTATGGGGGTGATAGTGTTGTTCCAGTTCAATGTGGAGATGCTAAGAATCAGCTCCAGCAGCAACAGCACCAGAACTACCACTTCGGCATGGAATATGGCTCCTCAAAAGCTGTGTACAGCTACAATGGTTCAATTAGTCACAGCGTAAGAAATTCCCTGTTATTAATAACTTCTCATAAATTATATTATGGACTCTTCGGTAACCATAAAGTCTGTTCATAACATTTATTTAGCCTCACTAATTTTCAAAAACCAGTTTCTATGACTCAATTATCCACATAGGAGTAATCCCTTTCTCCATTCAGTAGCTTTAGAGCTATCCTGAGACTTCATTTTTTCTTCTTGTACAAGTTGTGATGGTGCATTTTATCTCTCTCTGCAAAACGTGCTTTCTTTAAAAGCTCATATATGGCTTCCTAGTGTGTTTTATGAACATCTTAAATGTGCTCATTAATTGTTATTTTCCAACATAAGCATTGAGTAACCAACTTAAGTAAAGTAAGCCCGTTTGATATTCCACTATTCTATGCTTCATCTTTATTTTCCAGGATAGTATCTAAATATCTTGTCATCTATATACACTAAAAGTCCAAGGAGCATCTTTTTATTCTTTCCTCTGCACTTTACTAGCTCGCTTTTCCTCTTTACTTTACCTTTCTTTCTTAAAGGTAGAATCAAATGGAATACACCTTTTGACACCTTTTTTTTTTAAGTTTTCCTTTAGTTCCCTTTCATGAATCCAAGTAAGCATCATATGCCATAAGGTTCTATGTTCCGGGAAAAAAAAAATACTGCTATTTGTGGAATACATCTTAGTCCTCAACTGAATTTTACTTTTTAGTTTTTAGAATAAGGGTCTGTGGTTTTTCATTTGTCTTTTTCACTTGAAATTGTTAGTTTTATTCCTAGATAATATCCTAAGGTATCAACAATAAGTTTTGACAAAAGCTGTAAAGTAAAAACTTTCCCTTCAAATGTTGACGAAGAGGAAGAAGCATTATGAATCTCACAACTAATTTAACCTTGGTAGGAGGCAGTAAGTCAAAAAGCAAGCACTACAATATTTTGGTTTTGTTTCATGTAAATGTTTCTTTATTAACAGTTCAAGACATGTAGTAACTTTGCTTTTCAATAAATGCTTTAGAGATTAATTATGACCATGTTTAGACCTTTAATTTAGAAGTAAATGTTTGAAAAAAAAAGTAAGTTGCTTTCCCCTGAAACTTCATGTCGAACTTTCATAGTGCACAATCACAATATATCTAATGTTTGCAGTGAGTTGATCAATTGTTGGTTCCTTTCTTTTTCCTAGGCATCCATTTCATCCATGGATGTTGGTGTTGTGCCAGAAACAACAATGAGTGATATCTCAATCTCGCACACAAGGCCTCCAAAAGGTACAATAGACCTCTTCTCTGGACCTCTTATTCAGATGCCACCACAACTTACTCCAATGGACAGGGAGGCTAGGGTCCTAAGATACAGAGAAAAGAAGAAGACAAGGAAGTTTGAAAAAACAATAAGATATGCTTCAAGGAAAGCATACGCAGAGACTAGACCTCGGATCAAGGGTCGGTTTGCAAAGAGAACCAATGTAGAGATTCAAGTGGACCAGATGTTCTCTACAACATTAATGCCAGAAACTGGATATGGCATTGTTCCTTCATTCTAAGTTTGGTCAGAAGAAGAAAAAGGAAAAGGAAACCTCCTCACTGGGAGTTGTATGAGTTCTTAGTTAAGCTCTATTGCTGATACTCTATCATTCTCAATCTAATTAGCCTGAATAGAAAATATATGTTTTTAGTGGTTTTGTTAATTTCTCTAGATCATGTGGCTTCTATTTCTAAATGCATGTATATTAATAATTTTTTATATTTATTACTAAGCAATTAGAAGCATCCTTTTTCTCAGTGTTCCATCTTTTGTTACATTTTCAAATAATGGCTTGATAGATACAATCATATAGAAGCAAAAAAAATTGAAAACTCAACATGATAACTGAATCTACATTCTTTCAGTAAAGAGTATTGAGTTCAATACCATTTTTTATTGAAGAGAAAGAGGGGCAAACTTCAGCAACATGGAAGAGAACAATGTGAAGATCCAACGGCAATATTTGCCTTAGATCCGAAGTTCAAAATTGTTTTGGCAATCTCACTCAAACCTTTGAGGAGCTTTTTGGCTAGCCCCAATTCTTTTTCTCTGGCTGAAGATTCCTTCTACATCACCTACAATAAAGCAGAGGAATTTTCTGAATCTGCCAAAATTTCCCTTTAAAAAAAATAAATAATAATAATAATAATAAAGGGAAAAAGGAAGGAACTAGGTTATCTCTTCATTGTTCATGATAAAATTCTCAAGTTTTACTAGAAAAAGATAGAAATATCAATTTAAATTCAATGAACAGTCTGTGCTAATTGTTGAATAAATGAAAGCACAAATTGAGAAAGATGGACTCTAAGCAAATAGTACTGCTCCTCCCTAATAAATTATGGTTCTATCTGTCAGGTATTTGGAGAAATTTTGGATATAAATAATCATCTTTGGAAAAAAAAGTGTTATTTTTCGTACTTATTAATCTAACATATATGCAAATCTTTCACAGATATACCACATGCCTCTTCTAGCATCTTCTTTATCCTGCCAGGAAAAGAGTAAAAGCTAAGTTCTTGCTTTTCCTCAATGTGCTGCCAAAAAAAAGAAGCTTTATATATTGCGCTTTCTCCTGTCATATGTAAAAAGGGAAAAGACAGCCAGTAGCACATTAGTAGACCAACAAACAGGAAGGCACACTCTGGAGGATGATAATTCGTGGCAGTGGCTCATACCTAGCACATCTATGAATGCCTGTGGCCAATCCTTTTTGCTTTAAATCCAAGGTCCTTGCTGATCCCGGAGACATTGAAGTATCCATTTCTGCACTGTCATTTGTCAGGCATCAATGCTTTTTCCCCATTCAACAAGCATTTCAACTACGATTCTTAATTTTGTCAATAATACAAATTGTAGATGACTTGGGATGTTCATTTACATTTTCCACCTCACTAACTTTCTCAAGCTCCTCTAGTGGAATGAGACACCAATGTTGTGGAGCTGCTTAACAAGTGAAAAGGTTGGCTCTCATATGTCTTGATGAAGCATGCTGCACTTTTTCCACTTTATAAGGGATATATGTAAAGGAAAAAAAGTTCAGTCACATGTAAAGAAAAATATGACATTTTCATGGAGGCTATCACTTTAACTTTACCTACAACATTGATACTCCCTTACTCACTATACACACCATGTCAATTTAACCAACCTCCCAAGCTGTTAATTAAAGTCATGTTCAGCTTAATTTTGTTAATTTCTCTACTTGGTAAGCATTGGCTCTAGATTCTATACTCAGTAACATTTTGCTATATATTCCCACTTTATCATAGATATTATTCCAGAAAGATATTCATTATGATGTTGTGAATGACAAATAATATCCTAAAAAAGCAGCTGAACTTTATCTAAACATGTCAATGACATCCTCCCCAGACAATTCATGGATTGAATATAAAGCATATCCCGAGAGAAGTAGTCTAAGAAGCAGCACACAAAATTTCCAACTGATCTTCCTAGATTGGTTTAGGTTAATTACAGCCTTTAAACAAGTTACAAAGGCTTGTGCATCAATCAGATGTTCCTTCCATGTTTCCTATAAGCATACTGAAAAAATTTACAAGTCCTGAGAAGGTTTGCTAATTATAATGCTGTGAAGAATAGATGAAATAAAGGACCTACAAGTTGCACTAAATTGATATTTCTGTATTTCGATTCAACGTCCCTTTCCAACATTAGCACACAACTTTCTTCAATAGATTCTTATGGAATGCCATCATGATATATAGAATTGAACTTTTTCATGCTTCTTTATTTAGTCTAAGCTCACTGAGTATATGGTTATATTCCTTTGGTGCAGGTGGTGCAGGTGGTGCAGGAGCTACAGCTCTTTGAAGCTTGTATTGCAACCCACGAGAACTCATTAAGTATATAAATTTTGTAACTTATAACTAATTGTTCTTCATATGTCTTGTTTTTGTATTAATTGCTTTTATAAGATAAAAAAAGAAAAACAAAAACTCATTAAGTTTATGCAACAAAAAAGGCCTATCAAATTTTAAAGTAGAAAGAACTGTTTTATAAAACCATTAAACTTCAAGACCAGCAGATTGCACTTTGTGCTTTTTTAGTGGAAAATGTAAGTGGGAGAGCAATCCAGCAATAGAAAGTGGAGAAGTATGTGGAGTTCATTGCTTGACAGCTCCAAAACTTAGTTGCTGATCAAGTTTTTCTTTCCCAGCTCAAGACTAATCATGGACCCTCAAAGTATCAATTCCCAGTCTGTCATATGTGTTTACGATATTTGCTCTGCCATCACTCATTTTGGAAAAGACTCCTACCTCGCTATTTCTTCAAAGGCCAACCCTATGACGCACCAGGAACATTCAATATAAGGCCTTTGTGGCCTTCACTTAGATATTCCCTTTTTTAGTGCAAATTGGTAAACTTCTTTGTAATTGTATATATATGTAGATAGAACACAGTTTCAGACATACCAGAAAAAAAAAAAAAAAGACACACAAACACACACACACACAGAGTTTCAGTCCGAGAATGTTGACCATTGATAAAAAAAAAAAAAAAATGTTTTATCTAGTTTGATCTCCATCACTTAAGAAAAAAGGAATCTTTGAAGTCAAGGAGAACTAAAGACCTAGATAGCTCCCAAAAAGAACCAAGTAATCCCAGGACAAAGACACACAGTAAACTTTTCAAGAAAGAACTTTCACAAGTAGTGCTTGCTTTATCTAGATTCCACATCCACTAAGAATGTCACTCATATCTGTGTACCATCATTTTAAAGGAATTTAGCAAAATTCTTTCTAAAGAATCCTCAAACCAAAATAAAATGCCCCTTGCTTTGCACAAATATCTAAGATACACTTTTGGTGCACATGATGCAGATTTTTTTCTATGTTTTTACGAAAACAGATAACATCTGATAGAACCTTGGAGCATCTAGTCAAGTAGACATGAAAAGTTTTTCCACAAGGGAAAGGAGCAGTATGTCCTAATGATTCTATCACTCAAAAAATGCCCCATAATACCATGTATAGCAGTGTATTAACCACAGTTTTCTTTTACTAACATGATTGTCAACAATGACAAAGCCTAGGCACAAACAAATCCTAGTGTTCAGTTCATTAACAAGCCAAATATTTACTATTGGCATACCTTCTGTTTCTCCTTATCAAATTCTCCAACTCCTAAACAAAACTTGTAAAAGAATTGGACATTAAACAAGATATAAAAAAAATAAAAAATAAAAAAATAAAAAAGGAACTAAGAAAATAGGGGCAAACAAAGCCAAAAGGAATCAATAAAAAAAAGTCACTACAGTTTTTCCACTTTAAAGCAGTGAGAGATACAAAGCAAAGCAATCTAAACCACAAAAACATTTGATACACATATTCATCAAGGGGAAAAAAAAATCAAGCATGACCAAATTTTCTAGCTTTAACATGCTTTTGAAATTGACGTTTAACCCTCAGCGTGTCAATTCATTGAAGCTCATTTGGCAATCCTACTTACTGCATTTGTTAACATATATTGGAACTAATAGCTCCATTGACACCCATACGTTAATGTATTTCTACAATGTCAAATAAAATTTCATGGTAACATTCTACCAGACATAGATTAAGTTTTATTTCCATGTCAAAATTAGAAGGCCGAAAGCAACAAAAATAACATGCCAACCTGCTTCCATTGTTCCATATTTCTCCACAGTTGCAGCATTTAGAGCACTACCAAATTACTGTACCCTGCCCATTAACAATGCCAAGAAAACTTATTAGTCTACTAATTTATTAGTCAGAGACAAGAAACTAGAACCACAACAACAATTGGGATTACAAGAGATAAACCCATGATTCGACTTCAGAAACTTGATAAGGGTTTAACTCATTGACATCAATTTCAAGCGAAAATTAAATAAATTTCTCTACCCAAATAGAACCAAAAAAAGGGAAAATTTACCATTAAAAAAAAGGCTTTATGCATAGATTTTTTTGGCTGAGGTTGTAAACTTGTTAATTCTTTTCTCTCGTTTCCTTTCTTTGTTTGTTTTTCTCCTCGTTGTGCAACTTCTGAATTTTTTTTGGCAAAAAAAGGCAAATCAGCCCTTGTACTCAGTGAATGGTGGCAAATCAGCCCCTCAACTAAAAACAGACCTAAGTCAGCCCCTTAACTCATGGTATGGTTGCAAATCAGCCCTCATCGCACAGATGACGTCAGAAACGCGTTAAATCAGACGGAGACTTCATTTTGGCGTGCTCCGGTATGATATGGTCCACTCCATTGATGATGTGCGTGGAGGTGGAATTTTTTTATTATTTTGGCATTGAAATGACAATTTAGGCGAGACCTTCCCTTTTAAACACGGCAGAACCCCAAATCCACTATTAAACAAATAGGTAGGGATATATCCATCTCTCACAAAAATAAAAAAATAAATTATTTTTTTTAAATTATAAATTAAGATAAATTATTTATTTTTTTAACATTTTTCGTTAAAAAATACTGATGTAACAAACAAAAATTTGACATTTTTCGTTAAAAAAGTGATGATTTATCTTAATTTATGATTTGAATAGTCAATTTGTCCCTTTATTTTTGTGAGAGGTAAATGTGTCTTTACTAATATTTTTTAAGGGTGGATTTGAGAGTTTTACTTTTAAACACCAGCTAAGTGACCAAAACTTTAATAAAAACTAATGATATATATTTTTTTCAAAATAATTATTTTTTTATATATTTTTTTACTAAATTAAAGATTTAA